ATATAAACCATCCACGACATAAAATAAAGCACACAACTCAATTTTACATGGTTGACAACATGCCTACATCCATGGGACCAAGTCTAGAAGAAGCTAATCCACTACAAAATAATTATGTGTTCAATTACAAAGACAAGAATAAGTATCAATTGTAAAAGCTCCCTATTTGGACAACACTTCAATCTTCACTCTTTGGTTGAACCTCAAATCTTTATAGTCTAGCTTCTCCACCACGAGACCACCAGGTCGCACTTGAGCTCCTCTCAAGTTTCAACAATGACGAATTACTTTGGTAGTAGCAGCTCGAACATGTCCAGATCTCAACACGGAACAACGTTCCAAAATCAACTCACGCAAGCAAGAGATAAAACACGGTAATCAAAGCCTCCAAAGCATATCAAAAACCTGCAAAAACTAAACAACCTCAAATAAAATATTCAGAGAATAATGGAGGTAAATAATATGGCTTCCTTTTAAAAAGGTCACAATAATAAAAGGATTATTTATACTTAAGTGACGTTGAAAGGAAAAACAAGAAACCAAACCTGCTTTGGAAAGTTCTTGAGATCCTAGACTCCTTTATTGGAAATAATTCTTTAATCTATAATCTCCTTATAAGAAAAGGATTCTCGAAATCATAACCTTCTTTTAGGAAAATGATTCTTGAAATCATAATTAAATAAAATCTTTTCCAGCTCACATAATATATAATGTCCGCAAAATCTTTTTCCACAACTGGAAATATAATCATGTTTAATTAAGGCAGGTGCGATATGCATGAATATTAAAATAAAATCTGTTAGACTCCTTTATTGGAAAGGATTCTTTAATCTATAATCTCCTTATAAGAAAAGAATTCTTGAAATCATAATCTTCTTTTAGGAAAAGGATCCTTGAAATCATAATTAAATAAAATCTTTTCCAGCTCACATAATATATAATGTCCACAAAAAATCTTTTCACAACTAGAAATATAATCATTTTTAATTAAGGCAGGTGCAATATGCATGAATATTAAAATAAAATATGCCGGACATGTAGTGATCACTATGATTCTATTTGTGACCACCTTTAAACTGAACCTAAATAGATTGTGCACTAGTTTGAATGAATAAGTTGACAAAATAAAATACTTACATCATGATTTTTTAAGGGATTTAATTTTTGTCACATTCATGATTGATTAACAGAAAGGTATTTTAAATGCGTTAGAAGCTCATTGGCCAAAAGCAAGCAGTAGGTTCTATGCTTGGCATGTGTATGCCAATTTCAGAAAGGATTTTCTAGGGGTACACATTAAGAAATTGTTCTAGGCAGTGAGTAAAGCTTCAAAGAGGGCAAATTTTGTTGAGGCCATGGGTAAGGTAAAGGATGTTGATGAAGATGCATACAAGTGGATACTTGAGAATGAACTTGACCAATGGTCAAGGCATGCCTTTGACCCTATGCTAACTTAGATCACATAACCAACAACATGAGTGAATGTTTCAATTCATGGTTGGGTGAGGATAGGGAACTACCCATACTTAGTCTACTAGAGCTTTACCGATGTAGGCTAATGAAGAGGTTGCAGTGTAGGTTTGAAGCTAGTACTGAGTGGGTAACAGCTCTTCTCTCAGTGGTTCACAGAAAGATTAACAAGTTGATTGAGTCAACTAGAAATGTTATTGTTGTTTACCTTGGATCTGATGAGTTTGAAGTAACTGATAAAAATGTGATGTCAGGTAGAAAACATGTACTACTCTTGGGGAACCAAGTGTGTGATTGTGGTATGTGGCAGATCTCTGGAATTCCGTGTGTACATGTTGTTTGTTGTTTGTTACACATGAACGTTTCCAACTTTGAAGAGCATGTGGATCAAAAGCTAAGAATTCCAATGTACATGCAAACTTATGCATATATTATCCACCCTATCCCAAACAACACTAGTTAGCCAAAGGTTAGTGATGAGTATATCTGACCACCATACAAGCATGTCAAGAGTGGCAGACCACCAAAGACAGAAGGAGAGATCCAATTGAAGAACCGAAAACCAAAAAAGTTTCTACACTTAGGTGTAGTATTTGCAAGGTCATCGAGCATGACAAAAGATCTTGCAATAATAATCCAACAACTACGGATAAAAGGAAAAAACAGAAGGTATCATTAATTTCTTCATTTTATCAATATTATTTTTGCAGAATATCTAACTAATATTATTTGCCATTTTTCATTTTGCAGAGAATCTTTGTACCCACAATGACTGCAACATCTTTAGCAGCTCAGTTTGTAGCATCTTCAATGCCTACTTCAACTCAAATGTCTAGCTTATCATTAGCTTCAAGTTCAAGAGGTATTCATCACTGTTTTAAACAGTTTATTGTTCATGACAATTCATTTTTTGCTGCCCTAACATTATTCTTACTCCTATTATTAGGTCAAACAAGTTAGTAATGCCCGGGATTTTTTTGTGTGCAGTAGTAGAATTTTTTTTTGTGTAGCAGTAGAATTTTTTTTTGTTTGCAGCAGTAAAATGTAAGTGTTGATATGCAAATTGTATTTTGGGTTGGATTTGGGCACAAACAATATGGGTGAATAGCACATATAATAGGGTTCTTTTTGCTTTGTTATAAGGTATAGACAACTGTTACACGGCTTTTTTTTTTTTTTAAATTTAGGTTTATTGCTAATGTTCAAGACTTAGTCCTCAATGAAATTATCAATGAATGATGGTCTTTTCTAAGGGAGATGTTGCCCTTTTGTTGAAGTTATTTGCTTACTGTTTTCTCATTTTGTTAAAATGTGTCACTTTGTTATTTACTTTAAAAACACTTGCATGCTACTTCCTTGGTAAGGAATGTGTTGCAAGTTCAGGACTCGTTGGTTCTGTACCATTATCATTTGTGGGGCTATAGAACAGGGAGACAATGTAAGATTTATTTACTTATATTAACCTCTTCTTACATAATTAATTTATAGTACCAACTAGGTTGTAATCAAATTTTATTGGAACTTTCAGGTGGGCAACAAACTTCCACAATCTCACCTTCTTCCTTCTTAAGAACTTTTAGTTGGTGCATGTTTTATATTTGTTTTGAGAATGGCTTGAGATGTAGGATTGTTTTGGGTGTTTTTGCCTGTTTTAGGTTTGTTTTGAGAACAATGAAGAGTTGGTGACAGAAGCATTTTGCAAAGTGCTTCCGCTTTCTTTGTATCTTTGGAATGTTAACACATTTTGCTGTATTGAATTCATTGTTCTTGTTGTTGTTCTTTGTATCTCAGGAGAATTTCAATACAAAAGACTCTTGCATGTTTTAGGTTTATCTTTGTCCAGAAATGTTTCAGTTTTAGTTTGGGGGTGTATAATTTGTTAGTGAATTTGAAAGACTCTTGAATTCAATACAAAAGACTCAAATGTATAATCTGCAGAAATGTTTAGATCTGTTAGTGAATTCGAAATGTTTAGATCTGTTAGTTCCCACAACCAATGTATGATCTAACGACAAGATCCTACCCAATATGTTTAAATTTTTTCCTGCCATACAGGGAAAAATTGGTAATTTATATCTCCATAAATAGTTGATGGCATATTAGTAATTTAATTTACAAAGAATGGGTTATATAGGTAATTGAATATGTTGACTTGACATAAATTAATAAAATAATATTAACTCAAACAATTAAGGGTATTTTCGTCATTTTTGTTACTATACCATCTCTAATAACGGAATTCAAGAACATATCTGGATGAAAAGTGGTATTTGTCAATTTTTTAACTTTTTGAATAATAAATTGTCTTTACGGCAAACTTCAGGTGTAGGTCCTACCAATATTGGCGTTTATTAATAATGCCAGATGTAAAAATTTTGTACAAAATGAAGTAACAAGTGATGAATAGGCAAGTAAATACGAAAAATCAATCAATTTTTGTATGTACATGTAATGTTATTATTTTCTATTTTATCAATAATTGAAAAAATTATTATAAATTTGTCTTTAATATATAAAGCTCTCTATAGTCATAATGATGAGACTAACTAATTTTATTATTATGAAGAGGTTATAATTTAATGGAGGTGTAATTACAAAATCTTATTTTATAATTCATGTTTTAATAGTACAGTATTAGAATTTCAATTCATATTTTAGTAGTATTAGAATTTCAATTCAACACTCCAATTGCTTACTTTTGAAATAGATAGAAGATCTTATCTTAGAACCAATAAAGATAAGTGTCATTGATGGAACTATAAATACAATTGATACATGATCAATTAATGTGAAGCCACAGATAATTGTCAATGGTTTTAAACATTACAAAATTAGGACTCTCGATATCGATGAATTGTAAGTTACAAATAAAGTGAACGAGGAGAATAAAAGAGTCATTGCAAATTGAGTGATTAGATTCGATAACTTCACTACACTAATCGAATGGATATTAATGTCTTCCTCGATCATCCAAATGAGCAACAAATCGGGTATGTTTTAACCGAAGAAGAAATCATTGCTACAATTAGACAAAAAGATAAAAGAAATAATCATGAGGATAATAGTAAGGAATACAAAAAGTTTCGTGCTATGAAGCTTTAAACATGTTTAAGAAGCTAAAAATATTTTGGTTTCAACAAGAAGGTGTTCATGCTAGCGAGTTATTACATACTCTCATGGTAAAATATATGGTAATAACTCTGAAGTATAAATTATTGTCTCAAATAACTTTGATAAATATTTTATTTCATCAAGCCTTTAATGTAACATAACATATATTTTTTGGTAATATCCAGATAACTTTTCTTAAGACGGAAATTAGAAAAATCACAACTTATTACAAATATAAATTTATTCTTATTTATAACTATTTTAAATTAAGATTAAATTTGTTTATAATTATATAGAGTTTATTTTTATATAAAATATCACTGTAAATATGTTTTACCGTAATAATAAAGCAAAATTTAAATGTCTAAAATATTAAAAAATTGAGATAGAATTATTTCGAAGTGTTTTTATGATAATTACCAAAAATTTGAACAACTGTCTTCTTCCTTCTGAATCGGAGGCATTGAAAGCCAATTTTTGAGCACAGCAAAGTAAGCCACAGAAAACAATTTCTATTTCCAAATCTTCACCAATTCACTGACATATTAAAACAAAGTAATCTTTGTTTTCGATTGAATCTCTTCCTCTATTCTTACAATCATATTTACAAATGTCTAGTCACGTTCTTGAATCTGCCCAAAAGCCGCAACTACGTAAAGCCTTCAAGCTCCTCAAAACCCACGCTTGTAAGGTCGCCAATTTCACTCTCCAGTGGCAAGACCTTGAAGACCATCTTCGCTTTATAAACTCCCTAATCGAATCCAAAATCCAACTCCAACAAAACACCATCGAAAACACACAAAACGACAATAACCCAGAAAGCAAACCATTAGTTTCAACCCAAAACAACAAGAACCCAGATGCTGAAATCAGCAATGAAGAAAAAACTGAAACCCAAACAAGTTCTTTACCTGTAAAGAATGGAAAAGAACTAATTTTGTACATTAAGGTACATAGAAAAGATGTGGGTAATAGATTGTATTGTTTGTTTAAGGCTGTTGATGATCCTGGGAAATTAGTACTTGAAGCTTTACAAGAGTCTTATCCACCTGGTTTTAGTAAAGGCGAGGCAGTGGATTCTGAGATAAGGAGGAATTTTGTGGTGTTGTTGGAGGAGTTTGGGAGAGTGAGAGACAGGGTTGAGCCACATGTGAGAGAGGAGGCAAAGAGATTAGCTGTTGAATGGAAAGGGAAAGTGGAGAATTCATTGGAGGCTTTGGGGTTTTTGCAGCTTTTGATTGGTTTTGATTTGGTGGGTGAGTTTGATTCTGATGAAATTTTGAAGCATTTTGATAATGTTGTTATGCGCAGAGAGGCTCCTGAATTGTTAAGGGCTCTTGGGTTTGCTCATAAGGCTTCTGGTATGGTTTTTGTTTGTCCTATTTTGTGTTCAGCTTTTTTTATTTCATGTAGCTTGTTCTGTTTATTTATTTATTTTATTTTTTGTGGAGTTTAGGAACCATGCTCTGATAGTGGAATACTGGGATTTTTGTTTTTGTTTTGGTGGATTTTGGTGTCTTTGAGTTTGGGTTTATGTAGACAGTATTTATAAAAGGCATCAGGTTATGTCAATTACCTAAGGGCAAATGCATGAGACATTCATAATGATATGTTATGCAAATGCAACCAAGAGGTTTTATGTCACTATGAGTTCTCACTATTTTCATTTTCTTCAGAACTTGTAAACTTCTTTTGGCTAGGACTTTCCTTTCTACTTTCTTGTGTTATCAGTAGGCTTATGTGAAATGGCAATCTTTCTTGGCATACTTTGTGCATTGTCGGCTTGGGTTCTTGTTTTAAAGAAATTTGATTGATTTTTCTGGAATGTAACTTGATGTCATTTATACCCTATTGGATTCTATGTTTATTCTAGCACTTATGTTGTATGAAGGAGTGCTTTTCTATGTCCCTCTTCTTTATAAAAACAAATTATCGGTCGATGTCACATTGAAAGTCTTAAAGACACTTGTGAATCGTAAATGATGAGTATTCACAAGTGGGGTTTATTGTTTCAGTTATATCGTCATCTTCTGTTTTGGAGTTGATATGACAAATCTTTTCTTTTACTTGTTAGTCTTCTGTTATCTTTTGAAACTGTCTGATGCAAATACCAATGTTTTTTTGCTTGTGGCAGAGATTATCCAAAAACTGATCAAAAAGTACCAGCAACTTGAGGCTATTAGATTTATATATGAATTCGATTTGGTTAAACAGTTCCCTCCAGTGCCCCTGCTTAAAGCCCATGCTAAGTATGCCAAGGAGGTCGCAAACAAGATTCGCAAACAAGGAAATAACTCACCTAAAGCACAGGTATGGTTGCCCCATGTTTCTCTTTGTCATTGTGTTCTTCCTAGTTGAAGATCAATTTGCCTTCTTATTCCATGTGTTCAATTCTCACAGGATGATGCCACAAAGAGCGAAATAGCTTCTCTAAGAGGAATGATAAGATTCATTAAAAATTACCAGCTTAGTTCCCAATACTCGCCCAAGATCCTTAGAAATCACATTCAACGACTGGAGAGACAGAGAAAAGAGAGCAAGGAAGACGCAAAGGTCACTGTCTCTAATGCTCAGTCCCAGCAACAGAAAGGAAATAAACGTACATCCCCTGCTTCCAAGGCTCAGCAGAATAGGAATAAGTGGCCACGGACAGTTGCTGCAGATGCTTCTGCCAATACATCTCAGGCAATTCACTCAAAACAACCATCTCACCATCAGCCAGCTAGCTTGTTTGCAGGTCAAGGTGCACAACATTCAACCCCATCAGCTGATATAGATGCACCATCAAAAGATGTCGCATATGCTTATGGCGGTGCTGCCTCCAATGTTCAATCCATACAACCATATCCTAATCAGCTGTCGGATCCGTTAACACGTGCACGATGTTTGGCCCCATCTTTGGAGAAGTACCATATTGCAGGTCTGGATGGACAAGCTTCAGCTGGAATTGATGCGCTATCAAAAGCTGACTCGTATGCTCATGTTGGGGCTGACTCCTACTCTCACTCGGTACAACCGCCCCTTGGTCAGTCAACAGGCTTGTTACCAGGTGCACAAGATTTAATCCTGTCGTTGACGAACTACCTTTCTGCTGTCTCCATGCCTGTTACCTCATATACAACCACGGCACCTGGACCCTATGGATTGGTGGGCTCTGCTGCTGTCCCCCCACATATGAGCTCATCCCTTGGAACATATGATAGGACTGTTCCTGCAAATGGGAACTCTGGGCAGTTTGGATTGGATAGAAGCCATGCACCATTGAACTTTGCTTCTAATGCAAACACCAATGTGTCTGCCCCGTATTACCATGGGGACCTGCAGAGCTCATATATGTATTACAATAGACAAGCATCTTCCAGTAGTGCGGGCATGGCTCCAAATACAAGCTCGAATGCATTTGGTTATTATGATCGGCGATTATCCACTAGTGGTAATTTTGGTTTGTCATCTGAATACCCACCATCAGTTTATCATCCTTAGTTATTAGTTTACCAGCCTTATTCTCTTTTGCATACTTAATACATTTTTAATTTTACTTCTGTTTATGGAGTAAATAATCCGGGATCTTAGGATCAAGATTGATTTGCCAATACTAGTAATCCGAATTAATGTTTTTAAAAACCAACCTGGGGCTAAACCTGACAAAGAAGTTGGGTCTCGGATTGATAGGTTTAACCAATTTGATCCTTTTGTCAGTTGGGTCTCGGATTGACAGGTTTAACCAATTTGACCGATGGGTCAAATCGGTGACCTGTCACATAAAAAAATTTCAAAATTTTTGAATTTGGCGCACGTCAGCATGCATCAACGTTGGCCTTCTTTCCCCTTTCTTTGATTGTTTTCTTACCCAAAATCATTGTCGTCACCACCATTGGAATCCCATCCTCTCCTCTTAAAAACTATATCATTTATCCTCTCTCATCACTCGCCGATCGTCGGCTGCGAAAAATATGTTTTTCTAGTTGTCTTATACTAGATTTTGACCGTTTTGAGTGACGATGGCTCCAACCACCACCACCCTTATTAGACTTATCGGTACTCCCTTACAAAACCCCCAAAGTTCTCAAGTCATTCCACCCACCAATTGTCGGCAATTAGAAGCTAGGGTTTCGTTGTTTCTTGGCCAAATTTTGGCAATTCCGGCAACTAAAACTTAATCGGAAACCACCTCCATACTCACCGTGATCCGCCCTTCAAAACCCCCTCATGTTTGGTCATCGAACGCATCAGTTGAAAGTCGTTTTCTGGTGTCCGATTCACCCGATTTTTTCCAAAAATCGGTTGGACCAATGGTTTGCTACATATCATCGGTCCAACCTCGGGTGAATGCTCCTCCTTGGTTTTTAGACTCTCTCGGTCCGGCTCATCAGCTAGGTCCTAATCAAACCAGCTGGACAAGGCCAAGTTTTAAAACAATGATATGAATAATGAGTACTTTACTTAGAAATTTCGAATTTGGCCTGCTTGTGGGCAGATGAACATTGTTGTACAGAGCAGAGATAGATTTTTGATTATTACTCTTTTGTGTTTAAGAGATAATTATTTCAATGTCAATTAAACAACTTTTTTAATCAGTAAAATAAAGAGCGACTAAATTAATATTAAATTAAATAAAAATTTAAGATGCAGTTCAACCCTTTAGAATTTTAACTGATTAGATGATTCGGATACCATGTCTTCAGTAAAGTGGAGTTCTTGCCTTTCTATTTCTTACCTTCTAATTTTAGTTACCATATCATCATCATCAATCTCGTTGTGGTGCTACCAAACTTTACATGTTACAAAACCTTCCTTCAAGTTTCAGTATAAGTTGATCAAATCTCTGAGAGAACTCTTAACCATTTTAAGTGAACAAAAAATTTATCTGCAAATAAATAATTTATTAACTATGGGGATGTACTGAATCAATTAGAGAGATGAATTCACTACATCAAAGCTTTTATAATAAAAAAACCAGCTGACGCCTTGAAGCAAACTGAAGGTTAAAAACCCAGTACCTGATGCGACGAAAATGCAGAAAATAAACTCCAAACCTGTGAGTATGTAGCTTTACAAATTCTCAAGAGATTTATTATTTAATCTATAGATCATTTGATAATATGAAATGAAGGCATTACATCCTGGTCAATTCAGTACAATAAATTATATGTTTGCCAATTGCCACACATGCACCCTGACAACTTCACTCCACATCAAAAGAAACGCGAGAAAAATTTTGATGCTGATGAGTGAGTAAATAAAATGAACTTTGTTATATATATATTACACAGCAAAAGAAATCTTTACAAAATATGATACACGGCACTCTCGAAATCCACGCCAAAAGCTTATCCAAAGCATTTGCAGGTTTTAAGTGATGTTTATGTAGCTACTCTTGACTTCAGGATGCATATTACTTACAGCTTTTGTACATCTTTTCGTGGGGTTTTCTTCTTTCATTGTCGTTCATGGACACTCCTTTCTGTTGGTGAGCCAGGAACATAGGGAACAAAACCCCGGCCACCAAACACAGGTCGCATGAAGTGATCGTCAAATTTGCGCCAGTAATAGTGAACAGTGTGTGTAGGGGTTGTCAGAAGTGCTCGTATGCTGCCTGGACGTATGAAAGCATTGCCAACGGCGTCAGTGTACGAGTCCTGTTGGCCTCCCAAAAGTGGCACTACAATTGATTTTGGAGAAGATGGATCTGATAATACCGAGTTTGTATGTTTTGGTTGAGGCAGCAGGAATCTTATAAGAGGTTTAGTCAACATACCAAAAACCTGAACATAACCAAAATGCACGATGAGTACAAGCTACAAGAATTTGAACATTTTATGTATAAAAGATGTAGAAAGATTTGATGGGCAAGCACAATTACGCCCACAGCATGAATCATTTAAGTGATTAGTTTTACCATTCCTCATGCATTGAAGAACAAAAGTTTAAAGCTCATATCACTGGTCCAGTACTTGATAAAACACATTTATTAACAAGTCCAAATGTCTTACCACTGTACTGACAAGAACAACAGTTATAGTGCTGGTGATCATGATAGCATTCGCTCGCAACTGAGTGTGGCCTGACCTTGTAAACTGCATTATTGTAAGTTTAGAATATAATCTCATCTAGACAATTCAACTAACTTCTAACACTTTAAGAGCCATAAATTTAATAGGAAAAAAACTGAAAACTGTTTGATTTGTAAGCATTTTAAATTCATAGAAAATAAGATCTATACCTGATTATAAGCAAGTGCCATAGACACAGCACCTCTCATGAGACCAGACCACCATATCACAACCTGAAATGGTGAGTATGAGTGCAGGATCATGAAACCTTAAAGATTTATTAGGAGGAAGAAAATTTATATCATGTGATAAACGGAAAACATACTTGCTGCTTAAAGCCAATCTTCTCAGTGGGATTTTTCTTAGCTAAATTTGTCAAAAAGGATAGGGGGAAAACAAAAGCTGCTCGTCCAGCCATAATCAGACCAATCAGCACTGAGCTCACTGCAACAGATGTTCCAGGGCTGCAAATATGAAGTTGACCACCAGATATTAAAGAGATAATTAATGTTACATAACAAGGCAGTTATATGGTGAAATTGGTCCAAAAAATTAACTGTAAATAAAAAAGATGATTGAGCATTAATTACCTATCACTAACAAATTTCCACTTCTCAATGTCCAGGGCATCCATACCAACATACAGGAAGATAAAAATCTCAGCAACAAAAGACAAGGTTGCAAAAGAGTGCCTGTAATTAGATTGAGCATGGAGTTAAAGAATGAGGCCTGTGACCAGATCTTTCAAACTGTATGTATCAACAGCCTAATATGGATAAGACATACTTGGTAGTGACTCTTGAACTCTCAGTCACATTGTGCCAGGTGTAATGTGACATCACGATCCCACAGAAAAACACTGTAAGAATGCCACTCAAATAAAATAGCTGCACGAGACAATATTAACATCACTGTTACAGGACACAAACACATATCCTCTAAGGAGAAATCAAAAAGAGCCTTCAGAAAATTGCCCAAGAAGTTCTGGAGAAACATACTTCTGCTAGCATATATGAAAGGTACGCCATGAGCATCATGAGAGCAACTTCACGATCTGTTGAGTGCCTGCATCATGACAGATATTCAGTAGATCAGGCTCTTAGTTTAGTTCTGTTCTGAGGGATAGTGAAATCTCTCGAACTTATACAAGTATGAGTAATAAAAAAATGATTAGATAAATCTGGTGCAAAAATTATCAACATTGTAAACAATGAATTTCGGTCTTATTGAGAATTTGCTTCACTAGATATTACATGTTGCCATAGCAATGTAAACGAAGGCAGACCTAATAGTTACCATAGCAATGTAAACGAATTCAGACCTACTAGTTGCCATCAACCTTGTCTGATTTAACCAAGAACCTATATTTAGCCAGTTGGTTCTAAGTTCATAGACTTAGCATATTGCAGTAGGTACTAATAAGATCAGTCATATAGATTTAATACGTATAATGTAATGGGTATGAATGTCTGCGTAGAAAACATATGCCACACAAAGGCGCTAGACAAGTTTGTCATTGACATGAATTGTACCCTTCCAACAAAAGTAAAACTGTGATATTTAACCTCAAATTCAAGAAACTTAGGGGGACTACAAAAATTGGAAACATAATGAGACAAAATCAAAAGCGTAGATATCAACAACATTATACCTGCCAATATATAGCTTTTTGATAACGTAAGCACTAAGCAGTCCAGTCTGCAAGAAAGCCAAAGAGGTAATACTTTGTAAAATCATAAATCTATTATTCACATGTACACAAACGAATAAGCGAGGGACTTACAAACACCCCGAGCATAGTGCTTGTGAAAAATAAATAGAAGAAGTTGCCAATAAAGTGAAAAGCTGTTCTTGTGTTGATATGAGTGAGGTCAAAGCTTTGGATAGCATTAAAAAGCACTACAGATGTAGCATCATTGACAACACCCTCCCCGAACACCAAACTATAGAGTAAAGGTGTCTCATCCTGATTGAGCACCTAAAAAACCAAATTGAACAGATCTAATTTTGTAAGTGTTATGTAATTTAATTGATTAAAAAAAAAAAAACTATAGCAACTTTGATATATGACATACCTGCAAAGTGCAAACAGAATCCGTTGCAGCAAATATTGCACCAATTGCTGAAAATAAAATATTAGAAGAGTCAGAGACCAAACAGGAAAAAAAGTTACCATAAAAAAAAGAAAAAAAAAATAAGGGTAAGAGATAAAGGTAATACCTAAATAATCCCCTATATCCAATGTACCAATATCCATTTGTTTAAAGAACTGAATAACACCTGTGTCAAGCATCAAGGCACAATCACAATGAGCATAATCAAAGTAAAAAAAATGTGTTATTAATACCAACAGAAATTTAAACATCCACAGAAAACATTATCAATCCTTTCTCTTCTCATAATTTTTCCCCTTGAACATAAGCAGGCCCAAAAGGAAACTAGAACCAATAATAAACCTCTAATCTCTTTTTTCCAGCCTCTTCTGGTCAACAATTAAATTTGATTTAAACATGTATACATATGAATTTTGCAGTCCTCTTCATTTAGAAAGTCAAAGCTTATAATGTGAAAGTCCTGATCCCCCTGCACATGTTGAAAGTACTAATATCTATTTACGTATGCAGAAACAGCAAGGAATGGAAAGTGGTTAATTAGATTATATAAGTTATCATTTGCATATTAAAACAATGACATGATTGACCACTGATCACATAAGGCAAATAAAAAGCAAACAGAACCAAATCTGTGCGCCTGTTGTACAACTGAGGAAACTGGACTAATCAAGCACAAAAAGAATCAACAAATTCCTTAAGGTGTCCTAACCTTCATACTAACCAAGAGGCATTATGCACAGTAAACACAAATGAAAAAGTTGATGAGCATACCTAGTGATATGATGGTACAGCTTATTAACGTACCAACTGCACCAAACAACATAATGGTTATGAAATTACGAAAAAATTGCTTCTTTTTCACTTGAAACCTGGCACAGAAAACAGAGACAGAAATCATACACCAGGCAACAAATCAGCCAAGGAAACCAAACTAAAATCAATCCAAAATTAGGTTTTTTTTTCTCTCACTAAAAATTCAACGAAGATCAATAACACAACAAACTCACCCTGCATTAAATATGATAGGCGGCAAAAGATATATAAAGAACAGATCTTCACTGAAGACTAACAGATGCGAACTTTTACCACCGCTAATCAGCAAAATAACTACACCTGTACAAAGACCCTGCCACCACCAACTCACATCAATTAGTGAACCAAATCAAATACACATACAAACAAAAAATTAAAAATCTTAGATTTTATACACAAAATGCACTCATTTAAGCTTAATGCAATCACCACAGTCAATTAAAACCGCAACAGAATGTACATTCACCGATCGAGTAGCTCACATTAATCAAAATACTTAATCAAGTGGAGATCTATGTTACTGGCTGCATGATATTACAGGGCTAAATATAACACAAAAATAATAACATTGATAACATTGATCAAACATGCATTGTATATTACCAAAATGGTGTTATATAAAGTTCATATTTCATTACTACTATAACTGACATTGCAGGTTACTAATACAATGTTATGATTCATCAAAATGAGGCTGTGTCTAACATATCACATTATCGTTACTGGAATTTCATCTCATAACATTTCCTCAAAATCAAATATATAACACAACCTACAAAGCTTCATTTAATCCTACCGCAAGCAATCAATAGAATTGATTAAAAAAATGAAATTCAAGTGAAGTATAGGGAACTTACTATGACAAGGGCAGTAATGGACTCATTCATCCAGCGATTCTCTTCAAGAAGATGACCAAGCACAATACAAGCACAAAGAAGCGCCACGAACAGGTTCATTGAAACCACAGAGGCGTGGTCAGAAGTGGACACCATTTGCAATCTCCTCGCAACTGTATTCAATACTTGATCCATTTTGCAACTTGCTCCTCTTTCTCAATCAATTAATCCACAAGAACAAGAACAATAACAGTTACAATTAACTTTACTCTTTCACAAGAAGGAGATTCTGATTTTAACTATCTGCATTGAAACCAAAAACACAAAACAAAGAATAAGAAAATATGCACTAAACTCAGATCAACAAATGCAATAATTATACTAATTTTTACATGTACTAGACTTGTTCCTATAAACGAAGCTTCGAAGCACTGACTAGGACACAAAGAGACAACCAGATTGGATGATTCTTAAAAGAGAAGAAAATTACAAAAAAATTATAAATTATAAATTAAAAGTTTTCTGTGCTCAAAGTGGCTAAAAACAAAAACCGAAACGAAAATTTGTAAATTATTACGCCAAAAGTTATGTTTGGTGACTGAGAAAACCTTTTCTACTATTTTTTTTTTCTATTTTTAAAAAGTGATAAATTACAAATTTCGACACAGAAAATTGCTCAATCAAGCAAAATTGAAAAAAGATTTCATGAATAAGTAATCATTAAGAGAAAATCGTTCCGTTAATTAATTCAGCTAAGATTAAATACTCACATATGTTTGGTTGGCGAGAAAATCTTTTCTTTCCCTTCTCATTACAAGAGCTCAATGGACGAACCCGACATTATTAACCGTAATTAAAAACTGAATATATAAATACTAACAATATATTCAGCTCTCAACTCGAGACTTTGGAGACAAAACTTTGCTTAACGAGAAATGTTCTTTATTTTAAAAACTGAAAATTCTGGAAAGAGAGCGAGGAATCAGAAGGGGAAAAGGCGTGTAGTTCGGGACTTCGGGTAACGGAGAGAGAGAAAGACAGTCAAGGATTCTATCACCTGCAGTTTTACAACTGTAAATTATCAGCATGTAAATCGAGAGCGTAGATTTTGTTTATTAGGCACACGTGGAGCGGATCCGATTGGTATTGGAGTTTGATTAGTATATGATCGGGTGTAGGGTAACTTGGAGTGGAAAGAGTTACGCAGCCTTTGGCGGTACGTCACTATATTAATACAAATTTTACAACAAATTTATTTAGTTAGAAGATAATCAGTAAATAATTAATAAATATTAATTATATACTTCTGTCTAAATACGGTATTTGGATAATTATAAGATATTTTATACAGATATATACCATGAATTTTAGGTATTTATTTGTTAATTTGTTTCATGTTATAATTGAGTTAGGATAATTCATACTATAGGATAAATAAGGATAAAGTTTTTGATAATGGTTTTATTTTTATTTAATGTTCCAAAAAAAATGATTTCCATACAATTTTATACCATAAATTTCTTCTAATTTTTTATTAAGGAATTTATGGTAATTAATAATATAAAATTTTTTCATGAATTATGGAATTTATCATGATTAAGAGAATATTAAATTGATGAATTGAAGATGGATTAGATAAAGTTAAGATAAGTTACGGATTAATGAAGAGAATTTAGATAAATAATAAATTTGATTGGAAGTAATAATTGTTAATAAAATAAAATTAAAAATTAATAGCTCTAAGTAAGTAGAATAACATTCAACATAAAACTCTTTAAATGAAATATTAGTAGAAAATGATGTGTCATAATTACCTTAATCTATGGGCCACTAGATGACCCATTTCGTGTTTCATGAGCAATACTTTAATAAATAATTAAATACGAGTCTGATGTTGATAGATTGTCACGGATATAGGATCCATACATCTACTGCTTTCTCTTTCTTTTTTCTTTATAAAATTTCGTTCATTTATCCTTTGCTAAAGTTCATAATAATGTAACTCTGCCAACTGACACCGAAACTTTATAATTTCTAAATTCTAACATAAGCTTTTAATAAATATTTATAAATTATTTTAATGTTAATTACTTACCATATTCAAAGGATTAATTTTATAAAGTATGATGTTATTAATTGTGATAGACCAAAAGAGTTTGTATCGAATTCGGATTAAAAGAAAACTATAATATAAATTGAAATTATAGAGCTTATGAGGTTGTTGTTATGCCACGTTATGAAAGAGAAATAGAATCTTGCCGCTGTGGTGAGAACTTTAAGCCCAGTTCACATGTTTAAAGTTAAATGTCTAACCATACTATTAATTGTTTGAATTTAATCTTACAAAAGGACACGTCACCATTACTAATTTGAGATTGCAACTATGGTTTTTGGATGATTGAAACCTTTTAAGTTTACATGTTAATCATTGGAGGATTACATTGAAAATTGAAAAAGAATGATACATTGACATTAATTCATAAGTAAGTTTAGTTTAATATTTTTGCTTTAGAAATTTTGAAGGCAAATACATATTAATTCATGTGTTTGGTAAGGGTTATTTTGATAATATCATCTTATATTACTTATATTATCTTGTTTGGTTATTAAATAATAAGAGATTTTGATAATCTTTTAAAATCAATAGTAATTATATAAATGGTAATCTAAATATAACTATTTTCTTAAGTATTTTAAGATTATTTGATAATCTTATTTTTGTTATTATTTTACCCTTTATTGATAAAATTTTAGGATAATAATGGCTCCGTTTGGTTCCCTTTTGGGAATACTTCTATTAGTATTCTCAATAAAGTTAAATTGTAAAATGTCATTATTCTCAAAATATTATTCTATATTTTGAAATTTCTTTTAAACCTCATAAATTTGTTAATTTAACTAAACACCCCCAAATATTTTTTAAAAAAATTGCAAAAACACTCCGACCACCCTCCGACGGTGGTGGCCGGCTGTCCGTATTTAATGGGTGGGTTGGGAGTGTTTTTGTTAACTTTTAATATTTTATTATAGGGGTATTTAGTAAATAAACAAACATAGGGAATATTTTTATTAATTTCCAAATCCTACATCTTAATACCCGCCCAATTTAACTTTTTAAAAAAGATTATTCTAAAAACTATCAGAATAATAAACCAAATGGAGCCAATGTCTTTCTTTTGAAATTAATTTACATGAACCTGTCATTACAATTTTATCCTTAATTAATTAAGTTTTTGGACAATAATACTCTTGTATTTAAAACAAATTGCAAGCCACCCAAAACCATCACTACCCGCCAACTATCATTGTCGACAGCAAGCTACTATCGCTAACCAACATCATCAGAACAGTGCACAACTGTTCGATCGTGCGTCGATCTGGCCATTAACTACAACCAGAATCTAACCATACATCTAATCGTTAACAGTCAGATCTATACACGATCAGTTAGATCCAAACGCACTCTTAGCTGTTTTGACGACTTATTTATTTTTTATACATATGTTGCGATTAATAACTAATTTGAAAGAACAATTGCAGCTTGAATCATATTTATAATAATCAACAATAATGGACATTTATTAGCAAGAAAAAACAAAGTTGTAACATGCGGAATTATATTATTATGTCTATGACTATGAATATATTCTAAATAATTCGAATAGATTGATTTGATAGTCCAACAAAAATTATACAATAATAGATCCAAAGATATTTATAATTTATTCTTCCCATAATAACTCTAACAATGCAATGTGTTATTTATAGTTTATATATTTAATATAATGTCTCATACTTTCATATTTTTGTCATAAATTAGTTTATAGTAAAATTAACATCATATGTTGAATCTTAATACACAAAAACAAGAGAAAGAAAAGCCAACATAAATCATATACAAATTAACCAATAAAGATTTTAAAGATATTCAACTTTTTTCCACCTTTAATATGAATAAGAACCATCATAAATTACAAGACACGATGAGTAAAGTTCCGATGGACGTCGAGTCAGAAACCAAACGCAGCATTGAGCAGTAAAAATTATAACGTAACACATACATAATATATCATATAAATATCTAGATCTAATAAACTAATTATTTTTTTTATCCCAAAAATGAAGTGTGGATATAAAGGTGGGAGTCATGAGAGAGCGAAGGATATCATTTCATGCACATTGTATTTGAATTCATTGTATGCTTATAAGATTCATAAATCACATAGAACAGGTTAATTTTTCTTTCATCTTAATTTTATGAGCCCTAATATAATTCATGTAAATTCAATTAAAACGGTCGAGAAACTTGATTACAATATAATCCTTCATGAAAATTACTAAAGAGAGTATAAATTCATTGTTATTAACTTTCCACGTGTTAACTCTTGTATTATTAATGTAAACATTTTATTTTGCATTCTAATCATAAACCCTAAACCAAATTTTACTTTGTAATTACAAAACCCTAATCTTAGGGTTTTTTTTTTTGAATTTTTTTGAATTTTCTTCAATTTTTAAGTGATCTACACTTCTTCAAAAACAAACTAATTATTTGCTTCATATCATGAGTCTACTATTCTTACCAAGTTTCCAAAATCTGAAGTTCTATTTGATGTTTTTTGTATTGATAATCTTAACAACATATCACTTAATAGAAATAAGTTTAAGTCCTATAATGTTTCAAATTAGAAGCAAGAATTGTCTTAAAAAGAAGAGAAATTGTTAGAGAGAAACTAGTAGTTTTGAAAAATAAAAAACTTTAAATTATATTAAGTAAAAGGTTGATATTGTCTTCAAAAGAAGACTACATAATTGAGAAATTATAAGATACAGAACGAAAATATAAATATAAGAGTTATTTTATAAATAAGTGAGGTTTGTTTAGATATTTATGTATAATTATAAATATCTAAACGAACCTTAATTACACGTTAATATATCATTAAATATTACTTTAACTTTGGAATCATTATATTAATTGATCATTAATTATAAGTTAACATTACCTTAATTATAAGTTAATATTAAATTATTAATGTTTAATAGATAATGTAAATAAAATTTAGAAATTATATATAAAAAAGTGAAAACTTATATTCATAAATAAATAAAAATAAAAATAAAAATTGTATTTAAAAAACCATACAAATTGAAAAACCGATGATGTCGTCAACCAGTTGTCAATGATTGACCAATCAAAATCGTCTTTTGTCACCGAAGCACATTTGATGACACTATCAGTATTAACAATAAAACTATACTTACAAAGATTTCTATGTAAAATAAGTTGGTAAAAAATGAATGGAATAGTGAAATAAAAGTCAAATTAATTATATTTACTCTTGAGTAATGCTATTTGTATACAAAGAGAGTTTGTACAAACTTACGTGGTATACCATGTGAGTGCCACGTGATACAAGGATTCACATAATATTAATGTGACATTAAGTTTGTACAAACCCTAAACCCTAAACTTCATTCATTTTTTGTCACATCACTTTCTATGAAGATCTTTGTAAGATTTTTTTGTAAGTGTAGTATTGCTTCAATATTAATATGAATCTCTCTTGTCACGATCTATTCATCTATGTAAGTATCCATTAAAACACAAACATATATATATATTTTTTTTTTTTGGCTGTATTGAGATAAGAAAGTGTTGAATGTTTTTCTCTCCTATTGTGAATAAAATATGATCTTTTTACCAGTGAAAGTTATTTAGTTGAATAATGTTACATATACAAACTATTTATATAAACTATTCCATACAAATTAATTTAATTTTTCTTTAATTTAAAATATGATGGATTTAATGAAATTAGTTAGTTTTATTTTGGCATATTTTGTTAAATTATCACATAATTGAATTCTTCATTCTTGCAATGCTTATCAAGATTGATTACGAATTGGGTTCCTCCCACATCTTAGGTGTGAATAATAACATTATACAACCGCTAGCATATACATGTATAATATTTTGTATTATAATGAATCATGTAAATATACAAGTAATTTACACTTACATGAACCACAAATG